TAATGCAGCGAGTGATCAATTAACGCGCGCCGACCTTGCAACAGACATCTCCCAACACGCTAACTATGAGAAGTGGGTTAGCGGTCAGACGATTTACTCTTTGCAATGAAATAGAGAGCGGTACTTTGATATCTTAAGGCCCGTATGACGATTAACATAAGTTACGTAGTAAGTTATACCAACTACGTAACTTAAAAGATATCACACTGGCGATACGGGGGTGGCGAGGTCCATTACCGCACATAATTCCGACGGACAGTCCGACGACAGACAAACGACTAAAATGCCCTGTGTCACTAACCTATGCTGCATGTTCCTAAACACTGAAAGTTATATGGTTAAGAATTTAACATTTAAATGGTATAATAATTACATTTTTGAACCGATTATCTTAATGATAAAGGATAGTAGTAGTGTGCGCGCTTAGACCAACGGGAAACATCCTTTATATCCAACTAGCTGTCGCTCGCGACACCGTCCGCGTGGATATATAAAAAAACTTAATATATGGATAAGTTAAATAAAAGCTCTTCAAGACATAAATTCGAAAAAAAATATGAATAAATAGTATCCCATGTCCGTCTCCTGGCTCTAAGCTACCTCCTCACCAATATTCAACCACATCGGTAAAGCCGTTCTTAAGTTATAAATAGTGTAACTAACACGACTTTCTTTTATATATATAAGATGTCCAAATCACCCATACTTCTTTTGCATTGAGGCTTAGACCTCGTCATATCGCGATGTTAAATCACTGTCACTTTAACGTTTTGTTGTGTAACACGCCTTGTAAATTAGTTTCCACTAACAAAGCCCTTGTACAAAAACGTATTATCTCGATATCTCAAATTTATGTCTTTCAGTTGTGTGAACGACAATGGGTACAGTCAAACTTGGATATACTAGAGTCCAAGAGACGATGATATTTTACGCTATCCAAGTTCGACTGTCTACGGGGAAGGTCACCCATAAGATTGACTGACCATATCAGAGCGGTTGCAGATGTCCCCGTACACCAATGTAAAAAAGGCTACAGAGGAGTAGCGGCGCCTCGAAGCGGGTCACTGATATCTGATGACCATGAACAGTCTGTAAAGACTGCAGCGACAAAGAGGTTCGACTGTACATAAATCTGAACCCTACGTTACTATCACAGTACTAAGTAAATGCAAGATATCGCGCATATGAACGAGCCATACTAATTTAATTACATGCAAAGGTAATTGGATTAAATTAATCCCTAGCCCGGCTTTAAATCCAATTGCAATGCGATACAAATTTATTGGCAGTCTTACGTTCGACGGGACATCGTAAAGTGTTATTTGCAACAACAATTTCACCATTTTATTGCAGTCACTTATATTGCTAACCTTACTGACCTAACTAATATTATTAACGCGAATGTTTTCATAGATAGATAGTCGGATGTTTAAAGGTATCTACAGAACGCCTCAACGCATCTCGATGAAATTTAGTATGGATGTAGAATATACACACAAGATACTAATTTCGTTTTTTTAGTTGCTCATGGACGGAGTCACGGACGATAGCTAGTCACATAATCAAGTACATATACAAAAACCTATTAACTAAATTTTAAGAGAATTATAGTAATTAGTATGTTTTTGCATTACTGTTTCGACATTGAAAAGTCACGTTAAGTTACACTTAAGTGAATCAAGTTTCGTAATTATAGAAAAATTGCCGCAACATAATAAAACCAGTCAGACATTTACATTAACTTATTAGAACTGTTATGAGAGGTAACCCTTTCCGTCAGTTTCATTTGCTCCAGTTTGGACAAATGAAGATCATGTCCGATTGGAATTTTACAATTTCGTTGCTTCAGTTTCCTTAATCAATCTCCTTTATATAAAAGACGTATTGATTTACAAGGATTGAGAAGACGAGTTAAATAAGTATTATTACCAAATAATACTAATAAAAATAATTATATTAACACAAAAACATGACCGATATTATAAATAGTTTACAATAACGCATTAGACAAGTCCACCTAATTATAGAGTCATAGGTCTCGAGTTCATATCAAAATAATTGTATCAACGCCTATCACACACAATTGTTATAGCTTTATATATTGTGAAATCAGAACACAATACGATTCATAACATTTTCAAACGCTATCCATCGATTATACGGATTTAAGTCTATTTATTACTCACTAGCTGTCGCCCGAGACTCCGTCTGCGCGGAATTAAAAAAAACATAATTAGCAGCCAATGTATTCTTCCAGGCTATGTTTATAGGTACGTCAAATTTAATCAAAATCCTTTCAGTCGTGCTGAAGATACCTTCAACTAAACATCCATCCATCTAAACTTTCGCATTTATAACATTAGTAAGAAGTAAAATTGCAAATAATAAAGGTCATTCTGAGACATGATATAATGCTTCATATAATTCCCAGAAACTAATAAGGAAATATAAAGTTAAAATCATATTTAAATGCTACAACAAATAAGATATAGTAGAAAAATAGTCTCTAAGAAATTAGCAAGCGTAGTATTTATGCTTCAATTGTTTGTATATCTACATACGTCATAGATTATAAACAGCACGTAAGTTACGGTTGGATAGTTACAAGAGCTATGAACACGCAAACATATTGCTTAGAGAATTCAATTAATCTCTCTTAACCTTCCCACTCGTCTCTAAAGTTAAGAATAACAAAGAACGTTGAACTTGGAAGAGGATGTAAGGAAAAGGAAAATGTCTTTTTTCTGTAAATCTTTCTCCGCTTTTTATTAGTATAAGTAGGCTACGCATCTAAAATTTTTTAAGCATGCAAATGTCTATAAGAGCGTCTGTGACTCAAGGAACACTTGACTTGCAATCTACAGGTCCTGGGTTCGAATCATACGATGAAGGAAAACATCGTGATACAACTTGCACATATATGCGAAGAAATTCAAAGATATGTGTGCAGTTAACCGACCCGTATTGAACCAGCGTGGTTGAGTATTGCCTATTTACCCTTACTTAGTACAGGCTGTAAGCCTCGAGTTCCTCAGTGGAGACGTATAATGAGCTGATGAAGAAATGTCTATAAAAATATTGATCTTATGAGTAATCACAAAATGTATTATTAGAACATTATAAGACCTTGAATAGTATAAAGCTATAGTTAATAAAACATCGTATATTACACAGAACAGCTCCGGCTATAAACTACGGCTGTATAAATGGTGAACAGTTTACGCTTACTCGTATGTTTTGTAAACAAGGCCGCTCTTCGGCCGCAGTTGTTGGCGGGTAAATTTAGCGCACTTTGACAACGGTTTATAGAGGCCGGGGTATTCCCGTTGCCGATCGGAATACCGATCAATCGACCCAAAGGGGAAAAAATCATTTTAGTCCGATTGATTTGTATGCCGATTGGTCCAACGGGAAACGATTGGATGTCGGTATATCTATTAGAAGTCTTAGTTTAATGTACTGTAAATGAAATAAAACTAATTTACATACACTTTCGGCAGTGGAAACTCACGTTAACATACATCAAACCTGTACCGTCCATTAAATATTAGGTAGACGGGGTCCGGTGCTGAATTATTGAAATACAAAGAGATGTTCCGGCTTTGCGAGTTGAGTATAGAAATTTTATACGAAAAACCTCAGCTTATTTATTTAAAATATAATGCGAAAGGATCCTTAACCTTTTCGTATCCCTGATTTAAAAAAAAATCTTTACAAACCTAAACAATATAGATCAACATGTGATATTATGGTATACTTTATTTTTAAAGTTGCCTTTAAGTAAAGAAGTCTTTACTTTGACTTAACTTTAGTTACATGGATCATCCGACAATCTTAAAATTCTATGTAAAAAAAACATTACGTAAGTTAATTCATATGTACAATCATACATTTGAACATCAATTTCCCCACTTTCATCAATCGTTATGCATAAAAAGATATAAAATTTAATTTAGCATAGAGGATTTGTTTTTAAGCAACATGCAAATTTCTAATATTTTCTATCTTATCAACTTAATTTAAATAAAACATCACTTTATTAAATACTCCATTTCTACTAATAAAATAGGTAATTAATATTATCTTTTCATCTAAAACTCGAAACTCGAAATTAATTGCGATTATGAACAATCTTTTTATAATTATTATTTACGTGCGTTTTCTCTCGAAATATCTATGAAAAATATAAAAAAAATCATCATACCACAATACATGTAATTAATTAAAAATAAATTCCAGCTTAATACCTTCACGCGTTTTTGAGAAAAAGGGTCTTGACAGACTCACGAACGGACAACAAAGTGATCCTATCAAGGGTTCCGTTTTTTTTCCTATGAGGTACGGAACCCTCAAAATAACATTTACGATACTTTATTTACGTCTAAAACTATACATAAACACATTGGGGCTATTTGTCCCGTATGACGTCATACGGTCTTACATATTAGCCGCTCAAACCGTTTGGTTAAGTGTTAACGACCACGTTTCGTCCAAAACAAACAACATAAATCTAACATTTATAGACTCAACCGATAGTCTAAAGGAAGATTTTTGAATTGGAATTCTTCAAAGAAAATTCTGTAAAGTTATTCTCAACCCAACATTTGGTACAAAGTAAATCCATTCAAAAGCTAGTTGAATTTTTCTAAATATGTATGTTTAACTATTAAGTATAATCTTCGAAAACATTGTTTCGTGTCATAATGATGTCATACTAAAGAAGACCGCAGATATCTTATTAATATTATAAATGCATATGTTTGGATGTATGGATGGATGTTTCTTAGAGTATCACAAGAACTGCTGCATGGATCTCGTTGAAATCTGACATGGTACAACACGTAGGCTACTAATTACGTTTTTGTCATTCCGCGCGGATGGAATTGCGGACGAAAGCTAGCATAAATATATGGAAGAGTGACAAAAGATATGTCCGAGGATTGCACCCAATAGGAATTCATAACGTCTGATTACTTTACATAGTCCTTTGTTTTACTTACCAAGTTGTATGGATGCCATAATCTGCGAAGACTGAATTTTCTTGTAGGTGATCTCGCCACCCTCGCCGACACGCCGGTGGCCGATCTTGCGATCCGATTTGTGCACCTTGCTGATGGCCCCTGAAGGGCCCACTGCCGGCTATAAAAAACAAAAGTATATTTTAATTTAATATAGAAACAAATGACTATCATTAATGTAGTTTCTAATCCACATATTATGCGGAGGAATGATGCAGAGGAAGGCCAAAGTATGGATTGATTGTGTGAAAGAAGATCTGCGTAATAAGGGGTTGAATTCAGTTATGATTTTAAAACATCGTCATTTGGCACCATGACAAATTTTTAATTATTAGTCTACAAACTTATATGGCAAATGGACGTCCGCAATTATAAATGCGTTACCTACCTTTCATAGACGAAGGAGGGGACGCAAGGAAAGAGATTATTTCGTCGCAGGCTCATTTACCTTAGTTATTTTATAATAAAGGGTGACCGTGACGTGCCTTGTAACAAGATTACTTGTAGATTGTATGGTGACATTGGGGGATATGTGGGTCGTTCTGTATTAGTTGTCTGTTCGCACGCAATGACCTGCAATATTATAATAGGGTAAGGGGTAAAGGGAATGTCTCTAAATGGGAATTATTAATCAAAGTTGTTTCTACTGATTTTATTAATTAATAATGACGACTGATAGAAAGTGTAACCTCATAACTTGGATTTTAAAGACAACGATAATAACCTTTATGTTCTAAATCTTCAAAGTAAAAATGTTACGCTTTTCGATAAAATATTTAAAACCAAATCAAATGTAGGTCTCATTGGTTCATCATTCATCATACAATGCCATAAACGCGCAGAACATTGTGTTAGTATGCAGATTAATGACTCATGTAACAATGTGTTGTACAAAGTCGATAAACTGTTTATGCTGTCGTTATTTTAATTATTGCAATGAAATTATATGAATCTACTAGCTGTCGCCCGCGACTCCGTCTGCGTGGAATTAAACAAAACATAATAAGTAGCCTATGTGTTCTTCCAGACTAAGTTTTATATGATTGACAAATTTCATCGAGAGCCGTTCTAGAGAAACCTTCAAACAGACACATCGATCCATCTAAAAGATACAAAAAATTACTCCATCGTGAATAACCTTAAAATAACTCCACGTTACTTCATGTTCCTTTTAGGTAAAAAAAATCAAATTAATATTCCCGCACGTTAATTTCGGTAAAATGTCATTCGACACTCACAAAGCAAAAAGGTTGAAAACCTCAGCAAAATACACCTTACTAATATTATAAATGCGATAGTTTAGATGAATAGACGAATGGTAGTTAAAAGGTATCTTCACTTGATCTTGATACTTGATCCAGAAAGACTGTATGAGTCTCCATGAAATAGAAAGACATAGAGTACCTACTAAGTTTTTTTAATTCAGGGCGGAGACGAAGGCAAAAGCTACTATGTGATAAATTATATAGCCAAGTATTTTCTGATTTAATTAACTGGTTAACTCTGCATCATATCGATTTCATTTACCTAACAGAGTATAACACATGATCAGCTTTCTTGACTGCGTGTTGCCGTTTCAATTTCTCTAGTTTCTAAGGTGATTTTCATTATTTTTAAATGTTGCCATCTAAACGTAGTTAAAACTTAATTTTGTATTTTCAATTCGATATGTTTCAAAGTGATTTGTATTTTATCATTTTTTTTTATTCAGGACTGTTACAAAGAAACTCTGCCACGGTATCGGCACAACACTAGCCTTATTAAAATGTCAACGTTTATGTCCCCTCCCTAGTCATTCCGCGGGGTTAATCAAAGTGCATTTGCTTAAAAGCGATTTCATAACGAACTTTAAAAATGTACAGACCGGTCTTTCTTCAGACTTTCGTTAAGTCACGTGATGGTCGCGCGTTAGTCCCATACATTTTTGAAGTTCGATACGGAATCACTTCGAAGCGAATACACTTTGACTAACTCCCCTGACACTTGACTAGATAACGAAACCGCGCCATTCGCTCTTAATGATTCAAACTAATAATGTCTAAAAGTACCTACTTTGGTCTTAATAAACGCTACTTTTGTGCTATGAGATTCGATTTAAAACTTTCTAGATTCTATAGCACTGATTGCTTATATCGGCTATTGTTTTTTATGTAAACACTTCAGTTGTGTAACTAAGCTATTAATGTTGATAGTTTTTCTCTTTTTACCTGAACACCATTGTAATTCGTCATTGTGTCCTTATTATGGACTTGTCGCTAACAGGAAAATACTCGATACAGAACGTTTTTTTTTGTTTAGGTTTTTACACCTGCAATTTCATTCATCGTTTGTTTTGTATAAAATTTTAATGTTGTCTCTTTCTACTGAAATTTGGTTGAGAAACTTGTGTGTATTTTGTAGAATCTCTTTACAATGTATTTGACGTTACCTGCCGACTACAATTGTTTCCTTAGGGTAGTTGAAGATTTGATTGATAATAGTAAAGGTAAATTCAATAATACCTTTGTTCCAATACATATTGTGACACTAAAGAAAGGTAGCTGAGGTCCGAAAGCTTTGTAAAAAAATCTCAAGCTAGACCTTCAGTTGGTCAACGAGTTGAAGTTTGACATACGTATAGAACATAGTCTGAAGAATACATAGGCTATTTTTTTTCCTGAGCGGACGGAGTCGCCAGCGAAAACTAGTAAGGGCATATAATATAGGATATAACACATAGCATAAATCCCGTTATGTACCTTATAAATGGGTGATAAATAAAGGTTCTCGATTATCCATAGTGCTGCGTAAAGGCGTTGGGCGCCAGCCAGACGACTTATCTTGGATATATAGACATATATCTTCCACAAATATCAATATTATATGCATTATACATGGCGAATTGTCTATACACAGTTTTTTATATAGTAAAAACACAATTATTTTACAAACTCTTTGTAATTAGATATGTAAAGAGAATGCTCGTTTACCTTCGTAATGACTTTCCTACCGTAGTAGTGTACATTTTGCATTCTGCATTAGTAAATTAAAGTCTCTTTCTCTTAAAGAAATTTAGGGTTCTAATTAAAAAGTAACGTACGTTTATATTTAAAGTAATAAACTTTCCAATAATCAAGTCGTAATATCTATAATTTTGTTATGTAGATATCTCTAGATAAAGAATTACTATTATATAACACCATATACTTATAATTTGTACATAATTTATAAGTTACGTACGCTTGGAAAAATATGTACAGTAAAATGTTAATTAAAACATATGTTCATTCTTGGAGTTATGTTGGAATTTATGTTAAGTACTATAATTACATAATTTGCTTACCGTAGTAGAGTTTTCTAAAAATTTATTTTCAACACATTAACTTACGCCTACCTTTCAAATATACAATTTTCGAGGGCGTATTCGTGAGTCGAAGATCTGAGCAAAATAATTGAACCTAAAGAAATTAAATGGAATTATTTTATTTTGTGAAACAAAACACGCCCAAATTATCGATGTTTATTTTTTCTCTATATAAGACATGACTGTTGTTAGTGACGTCACAATAGTCTTTTCAGGTAACCAGGTAGTCAAGGTAACACGTTCACGACGTACATTGTCAGTAATTATGACGTCATCAATTACTACGTCACCGTAATGTCTACGTCAGAAATTGATAAAAATGTAACATGGACGTCAGGATTTGCATGTTTACACGTCAATAATGTAATTGTTGTGTTGTAAATAGTTGACGTCACTATAACTATTTCTGACCCAATCTTACCTAACCTAATCTTATCTATAATGATAGTCAACGCTGATTCTCGCGTTGACCGATTTTGTTAAATGATAGCTGATAAATTGTATAATTCCTAATGAATGTTTCATTTCTATTTATAACTAGCTATCGCCCGCGACTCCGTCCTTACGTAATTGAAAAAAATAAATAAAAGAAATAGCCTATATGTGTAGGAGTACACATCTTCCATACATCTCTATTAGCCGTCATGTTTGAATTTAAAATTTCGTATACTAATTTTATACCAGAAAATAATTGTCGTATTAATAAAAACATATCCAAAAACAGTTTAGAAATGGCTTCCTTATAAAATTCTTGCAGATTATAATTTAGCCATAATATCTCCTAATTTGGCATCATATGACTTTGGGAATAACTCTGGCAATTTGCCGTCTAATAGCAACTTGCATTAGTCATTTCTCATTTATTATAATGTTAACCAAAGCTTTTGAGAATAGTAAAAGTAGAAAATGATCACATGAAAAGTATTAACTTTACCTGGTAATAACATTAACTACACCTTCAATATTACTAATATTATAAATGCGAATGTTTGGATGTATGGATTGATGGATCATTGTTTTTTGACCCCTGAGCCACCGACGCTCTGAACCGTACATCAGAAATAGTGAAACGATAACAACAAAGATATATCGTCTGAATATAATAACATAAAATATTCTCTTGCTTGTAATACTTGCATAATAAAAACTAGTTTCTGTAAATAACTACAAAAATGTAGAAAACATTTTCCTCGTAAAATTTTCCTTCTAATACACAAAGCCACGGAAATGTAATATTTTTTTTAACGCGTGGCAAGTAGGGTTGCCATATCTTGGGGTTTGACCATGACAATCAGACAATCAGAAGTCACTGGAAGTAGATCAGTCAATTGTTTATGGCATGATAAGTATAATTTGATCCTTAGCTACCCTTTGGTAATAAGTTTTTTTTTTCCGCAACCAGACTTCGGGTTTACGTTTATAATAACTTGCCAGCTATATATTTTCCTATTACCCAAAAATCGTCCTTTTTAAATTGCAATATTTAAAATTAAGTTACAAATACCTAATGTGTAAAGGAACGCTTTAAAACTAAAGTACTAAGTCCTGGTCTATATAAATTTTCTGTTTTGTTATTATTTACTACTACGAATAACTAAATAATTTCCCAGGAATGTGTTGTTAAAATGACTCAGATTTTGCACTACAGATCAATGTAATCTTTTTAGTCGATCAGATTAGATAAATAAACATTTGTAGTATTTATCATCAATACAGCATACAAACTTGAGAGTATTTTATAGCAATACCAAATATCTAAAACAACATAAATTTCATAA